AAACTCAAGCAAAGTGAGAAGTCTCAAAAAATCATTTGTAGAGACCAAGCATTATACCAACTGACCTGTATATTTTTGAACTGCCCTTGGGTCTCTTTTAATGTTACACTGACTGTTTTCTAGCCCAGTTGTCCAAGAATATGTAATATATTTAGTTTTACACCATCATTTGGATTTTTAAAGCGCTGCCAGATGGATCTGTCTATGCTCAGTGTTTATTTGTGTATGAACCCACACGATCCCTTCATCTGGAGAGGCCCTGCTCGCGCTCCCAACTCATTCGCAGGCGCGATTGGTGGAGAGGGAGAGGGCCTTCTCAGTGGTGGCCCCCGGACTCTGGAACTCACTTCCCAAGGACATCAGGCATGCCCCAACTCTGGCAGTCTTTAGGAGGAGCCTGAAAGCATGGTTGTTCCAGTGTGCCTTCCCAGAATAAGGAAAATTCTCAGCAATATGCCCTCAGAATGCACTTTACTACTGGTTTAGGATTGACTGCGTTCCCTCATCTCTCTTTGAAAACCCTATACCAGTTATATCCTACCTTGTTCATGCCCAGCATTTATTTTTTAATTTCTTAAACTATTACATTTGGCCCGTCCATAGGTTTTTAAATCCTTGTGTGTTATTGTTTATTGTTTATATGTGATTTATATTAATTGTATTGTATTTATTGTTTTTGGTTATTTGCTTTTTTATTGATGTACTGTTGGGCTTGGCCTCATGTAAGCCGCTCCAAGTCCCTTGGGGAGATGGTGGCGGGGTATAAATAAAGTTGTTTATTATTATTATTATTATTATTTGTTTCCACTTTGTCACACAGGTCTAGAATTTAATTTTTTTGTCTCAACAATTTGTCTCATGTTTATTCTTCAAATTCTTTTTTCCCCTGAAAATATCAGTTTCAGAACAGGTATCTGGCCAAAATCTACTGCAGTGGAAACAGAAATATATCCCAACTTCTATCCAAATTTATCTTTAGCAATCTAGGGACCCAAGAGTTCAGCCCTTCTTTATATACAGTACCTGTATCTCAATACCTGGGAAAGGAACTTACAGCTTTATCTGTGATACACATTTAATGAGGGAACCAGTGACTTTTCCCTTTTTCTACTATTCTAAAACCCATAAAAAGTACTGTGATTTTAGTGGCTATCATTGTAGACTTCATATAATAATAAAATATTATCCATTTAGCTTTAAGCATTATGGATAAGACTGTAAATTTTTCATGATGGCCATAGATTTCTGTAAACCATCAAATGCCCCTATATTGCTTCAGTACATGAATATTTTAAGGCTAATATTAAATACTAGACAACATGCAGTAATCTTTTTAGATATTTCCGCTAAACATTTGTTTACTGGAAAGATAATACTATTATAACTATTTGTCGATGTTGGGAATTGAAGTGTAACGTCTGGAGAAAGTTTATTCATATGTTCATGACTCAGGATTTTAAGAAATCTTAATTGATGGATTACATTTGCATATGCGTGAAGCACAAAATATGAAGATAATGAGTCAACACAGATAATAAAACAAAAACCTCCTTATTGTGAGAGCACTGGATCCTGGATCATCTGATAGAAAAGTTTCCATCTTTGCTCTCCTTTTTTCTTGGTTGCATGCCAGAGAGCAAAGAAATTGGAGAATGACCTTGAAGAAAGTTGTTATTAAGCTCACCCTGGCAAATAGTGTAAATATTTGTATCTCTTTAAGGCAGTACCACTACGCCTCAGTTTACAATCCTTTTTACAAAGTCTTTTTAGACCTACACAGCCTTCCCTTTTCTTTCTTTTACCATATCAGGTTGGGTGGTCTTTTTAGTAGCATCAGCATTAAGAAGATAGTAAAGGAGGGCTAGCAGACCTCAGATTGCAACAGTGTGTCAATGGAAAATTGTGCTGGGAGAAAATTGGGATTTTGTTTGGGCTGATCCTACAGTAGCCATGTGTTTCTGTCTACCACAGGAAAGATAAAGAGCAGATTCCTCCGGAATCCCTTACCAATATATGCAAACTACAAAACAGATAGAAAACGATATAACAGATAATTGTGCCTCATCAAATAACAGCAAAACAGAGAGAAAAGGAGATTTTTTCACCATATTAAAAGGCCTACATCTCTAAATTTGGTCACCAAAATGGAAACCCAAGTTAAAATGGAAACTAATGAAAGAAAATAATCCCTCCTAGCTGCAGTTTGGGAGTAGCCTTCAGGTGGTTTATAGATAGTTCCAAATATTTTCGTTTACTTATGTAGGTTTTCCACAATGTGGTTGTTTCATTTCAAACATATACTCTGTTAAGTTAAGGTAAAGGTTTCCCCTTGACATTAAGTGTAGTCGTGTCCTACTCTGGGGGGTGGTGCTCATCCCCATTTTTAAGTTGAAGAGCCAGCGTTGTCCATAGATATGTGGCCGGCATGACTGCATGGAGTGCCATTACCTTCTTGCCTGAGCAGAACCTATTGATCTACTCACATTTGCATGCTTTCAGACTGCTAGGTTGGCAGAAGCTGGGCCTAACAGCAGAGCTCAGCCCACTTCCTGGATTCAAACCACTGACCTTTCGGTCTGCAAGTTCAGCAGCTCAGCAGTTTAATCTGCTGCGGCACCGGGGGCACTGTTAGTTTTATATAAGTTGAATTCACCAAAGTATCTGGTGAACTCCATTCCCTATCCCTGCTATAATATGCTTTTAGAATAGGCATGGGCAAACCGACTCTCCAGATGTTTTGGACTTCAACTCCCAGAAATCTCAGCCAGCTTACCTGCTGTTAGGAATTGTAGGAGTTGAGGTCCAAAATATCAGGAGAGCAGGAACTGCTGCTCTGTGCCCCTAAACATGTAGGAATATTTGACTGTGTAAGAGCTCTTATATAGTGGTGGTTTCTTTATTCCCTCATTACTTGATACAACTGTGCAAGTTGTGAAATGCAATCTGGAAATGAGGACTCAAAATTTAATCATTATGCAGCACAGTAGTGAACAACAAATCCTGTTGCATGAGACTTTCTCCCACTCCAGATCAGGAATGGAACTGGTAGTCCTCTAGATGCTTTTCTTTTCCTATTTCTTTTAGCTCATGACAGCATCACACATAATCAAACAAGGCTGGAGTCGTGTGCTACAGGTCCTCATCACTGTCCTTCAGTGTTGCAAAATAGGAGCTTTAAAATGTGAACAAGAGCGAGCAAATTACCTTCATTCAATGGAAAGTTATCAGAACAGCTCTATGAGGGCTTATTGAATAGATATTGATTGTTATGTTCCCTAGAAAATTATTGTAAAAGAATTGCACTTGCTAGCCTTTGTATTCCTGGAAGAACTGCTGTAATTGGAAATCATGTAGGGGTTAAGGGTTTGTATATTGCAGTTCTACAAAGCTATAGTTCTGACAGGTTAAGATTTTGTAAGCTGAGTATTTTACCCTTCATATTTTTAAAAATATTTGTTTATTACTTTGCAAAGTTGCTGCAGTGCCTTTGACTGAAAGGTAGTTTTCAAACACCCTTTTCTATAGAATACTGCTTTTGCAATAAGTTACAACTTTTCAGAGAACCATAGAGTTGGAAGAGACCGCAAGGGCCATCAATCCAGTGGTTCTCAATCTGTGGGTCCCCAGGTGTTTTGGCCTACAACTCCCAGAAATCCTAGCCAGTTTACCAGCTATTAGGATTTCTGGGAGTTGAAGGCCAAAACATCAGGGGACCCACAGGTTGAGAACCACTGATCTAATCCAGCCCTTTGCCATGCAGGAAAAGCACAATCAAAGTGCTGTACTCTTGACAGATAACCACCCAGACTTCGTTTAAAAGCCTCCAAAGAAGGAGCTTCCATCATTCTTGAGGGAAAAAAATAAATCACTTTGCTGTGAGATGCTGTGGGATTGAAATAGTCTTGTGCCATGCTTTCTGGAATACATTGGCCTCAAAGTCATTGTAAAAGAAATATAATCACCCTAATTGTAATCAATTAACAAATAGAACATTAATTCAATTACAGTTAATGTTGAATTAAATTAAATTAAATGGATCTGTCACGTGTCAATATCTTCGTTTAAATCTATGTCTACTTAACAATGACCATTACCAGTAGTCAATATTATAATTGCACTAATTAATTCACTTAGCAAAAGTGAAACTAAATGAAGTTATCATACATTGGACATATCGTGAAAAAATGCTACATTGGAGAAGACAACAATAGTGGAAACAAAGGGGGAGAGGAAAAACTTTTATTGAAGTTGGATTGGTTGAATAAAGCATGCCATGGCTCTCAGTGTTCAAGACCTAAGCAATCCTATTAATTACAAAATCTGTTGGAGGGTTCTCATTCATTTTCTTGCCAGGGGTTTCACTAACTTACATAGCAACAAAATTTCACTGAATATCACAAAAGTCACAAAACATTTTATTGGCCAACAAAAATGCACAAAATACAGCACATAAGCTGTTGAAGTTTCACTAGCTTTTTCGTTAGGCAAAGACGCTAAAAACCATAACATTCACTGAACAGTTTACATTGCAGAATATATTGAAAAGATGTCATCAAGCTCATATGAAAAAGAGAGGAAACTAAAATAAGACTGGAAAGGATCACAAGTCCTTTGACCTGCGTGCAAGAAAACTCAGGCTGTTTGCATTCAGATAGCAGGAAAAAAAAGCCTCTCCTCACCAAAGCCCTATGTTTCAACCTCAGCTCAGTTGCCAACCATCTGGGGTCTATTTTTAGTCTGTAGAGCACATGGATATGTACAAGGTGGGTAAAAAGCCTATCTCAGAGCATTAAAAACGATATAAACACAACACGGGGACCTTCATATGTATCAAAGTTAGAAGTCACTTCCTTAATGAATGCTCTTACAGAGCTGAATGCAAGCGAAACCTTCAGTGTAGAAAGAGGCTAGAAAGGGTTAGAAAAGGTCTGAAGAAATGAGATTGATGTTATAATGTATAACCTTGTGAGTTGATACTGTTTTTCTTTGCTTTTAAACAGAATTGACTTGATTCTGCATATTTTTAAGTAACACCTATTCAACTGGTTTGGAAGATTAAACATCCATATAAATGCAGGTATGTATTTTGTGATTCATATGTGTTAATGTAATTATAGTTTATACTATCAAAAAACCTCAAAACACAAAACAAAAAAACTTCTGCATGTAACTCACTCTGTTTTCTAGCTGGCAGCTTGTGTGGTCATTATATTTGAAAGATATTAATTGCCAGTAATTGCCAACCAGCTTTGGAGGAGACCTTATTTATTTATTTAATTTATTAAAATAAAATATTTTAGAAATACAGAACACCTGCTCATAGGAGGCTACACTCTGTTTTGTGTAGTAATAAATGAGTTTGATGCATCAATTCCTAAAAAAGTTTGTTAGATGAAGCTAAATTGGTTAAGTTGTTCCAGAGATGATCATTTAAATCCTAAGATTTTTATGTTTCATGGTAGATCAAGAACTGATTTTTTTTCTCATTCAGGGATAAAAATTATGAAAGTTTAAGTTTAATTATTTGACATTGTCTTAGTTGTGCAAGAAAACCTATATGTCAGAATCAGGAGTTATTAATTAACAGAATACCATACTTAAGTAACAGTTTGCTTCAGTTTTCTGGATTGTATATATGTTCTATGTTCTATGTACGTTCATTGGCTCTAACCAGAACTCTGGTGCTTAGAACTATAATATCATGCTTAAAGCCAGAATAAGAATTTAATGGCTTTGTATATTTTGTGTCCCTTTTCCTTTCATCTTTGCAGTATTTTAATGTAAAAGAAGACTGTAAAGCTATGGCTTTCTGTGCAAAAATGAGAAGTAGCAAAAGAAATGAGGTCTACATAGAGAATCAAGAACAAGGACTGGAATTGGCATTCTATTTGCAAGAGAAGCCTTCTCTTTCATATACATCTGGAAAGTACACAGCAGAAGAACTTTGCATTGAAGCTGCCCAGAAATGCTGTGAGTTTCAGTAGTGTCAAATCTTATTTTTAAAAGTAAAATCAACAGCTAATTGTGGACCTAAATCCATTTGTAAGTCGCAGTCAGAGTGAACTGAATTTATGAATTAATCTCAGTGGAATCAGTGGAATTTATAAACACATTGACTTGCCGACTTCCTGTTTACTAAGTAAGTCTATTGTAGCTGGGACTAACAATTGGATTTAGGCCACTGCTTATCTATATTACTTGAAAACAAGACAGGGATTTGTATGATTCTGCCATCCCACTCTTAAATGTCCTGTTTCCACTTTATTAGAGTATGATTTTCTGTTTTTGTTTTTGTTTTAAAAATACCCTTTCTTTTTGGATATTATATTAATTTCTTCCTGTTCTGTCCTTAGTACTTACTTAGGCGATCCCTCGTTGTCCAAGTAGGATAATCCTCCAGGGTGGGTCCGTTGGTGACTGTGGAGTCCTATACTTGATCTGCATCGTCTCCCGCAGTGAGGGCATTGGTTTCCAGGTGGAAGGCGGTCCCGGTCGGGGTTGGCTTGACACGCCTTCCTCTTGGCACGTTTTCTGTTTCACCCTCCATTCATGCCTCTTCAAATTCTGCAGCACTGCTGGTCACAGCAGACCTCCAGCTGGAGCGCTTATGGGCCAGGGCTTCCCAGTTCTCAGTGTCTATGCCAGAGATTTTAAGGTTGGCTCTGAGCCCATCTTTAAATCTCTTTTCCTGCCTGCCAACATTCCATTTTCCGTTCTTGAATTCAGAGTAGAGCAGCTGCTTTGGGAGACGGTGGTCGGGCATCCGGACAATGTGGCCAGTCCAGCAGAGTTTATGGCGGAGTACCATTGCTTCAATGCTGGTGGTCTTTGCTTCTTCCAGCACACTGACATTTGTCTGCTTGTCTTCCCAAGAGATTTGCAGGATTTTCTGGAGGCAGCGCTGATGGAATCGTTCTAGGAGTTGCATGTGACGTCTGTAGAGAGTCCACTTTTCGCAGGCATATAGCAGGGTCGGGAGGACAATAGCTTTATAAACAAGCACCTTGGTATTCCTACGGATGTCCCGTAGGGAAAAATGCTGCATTCACAGAGCTCAGGCGGTGTTGTATTTCGGTGCCAATGTTGACTTTGGTGGAGAGGTGGCTGCCAAGGTAGCAGAAATGGTCAACATTTTTAATGTTATACCATTAAGCTGTATCTCTGGCATTGGAGAGGGATTGGCTGGTGACTGCTGGAAGAGGACTTTGGTTTTCTCGATGTTCAATGACAGGCCGAGCTTCTCGTAAGCTTCTGCGAAGGTGTTTAGAGTGGCTTGTAGGGCTTCTGAATGCACACAGACGACGTTGTCATCAGCATACTGCAGTTCTATAACAGATGTTGTTGTAACCTTGGTTTTGGCTTTCAGTCTGCTGAGGTTAAATAGTTTGCCATCTGTCCAATAGATTATTTCCATTCTGGTGGGAAGCTTCCCATCAACAAGATAGGCAGTGCTGCAAGCTAATCCCTGGTTTGTTGTTGTGGGATTTGTGAGAGAATCTCTTCGGCCACGTTGTAGCTGTGATTAGGAGGCTTTGGTAGTCTTCTTTTCAATGTAGTGCAATTGATTTTTTTGTCCTTCAGAAGTTTGGTTCCATCTGATGAGCGTAGCAGCTATATGCCATGGTTTCTTGGTCCATAGATGACCTTTGTGGCTTTGAAAAATCCCTGAGCATTATGGGTATCTGCCAGGTGTTGGATTTCTTCAGCCTTCTTTGTCCACCAGATGTTCTTGAGTTCTCTTGTCCTTTGGACCTCAGCTTTTGCACTGGCATAGATCTTTTTCTTAGCAGTATACCAAATCCATAATGTCTGGTTTGGATCTCAAGTGTAAATATACCCTACTATTCTTGTTGGCAAGTAAGAACTTATTAATACATTTTGCCCTTTTTATTTTTTCATAGACAGTTGAATCTCTTTGACAGACTCCCAGAGAATCAAATATACTAATACTGGTTCTATGTAGCATCTCCTCGTTATAAATTGCAATGCATACTTTAAAGCCCTAGTACTTTTGTCTTTGTTTATTCTGAATGTCCTGTATATGGTTGTGGTGGGTGCTATGTTCCTGTTCGGGGAAAAAGGACTACCTTTTTTGCTTCTTAATAAATATTTCTGTAATACCCCCAAACCTAATCTGTAATACCTTTGTGTTTGTATGTAGCCTGTTGACTTATGGCAAATTTCAGGAGTTTACCAGTACATTCTGATTGGTTAAAGGGGTGATCAGAGGAAAAGTTCAACAGCAGAATGTTGTAGGGACCTTTATTTGAGCAGAACCTATAGTTTTAGATTTAATCTTACCAAACTTTCCTTCCATGTTTATAGTGCTGTCACTGCCTGATCAGCCTATTTATATTACTGTTTTATTTAAATATAGGTCTCTTGTGTCTCACTACCGTATTTCATTGTATTATAGTTGCACTCTCCTCATTTTTCCATCAAAAAAAGGGGTACAATTATTACACAAAGAAAAAAATCTGCCTTTGAGTCTCTGTTTTTTTTTTTGGGGGGGGGGTTAGAAAAAATAAAATGCCTTACCTCTGAAAGGTGAGGAGGGGGGATGATTCAGCCTCAAACAAACACCTCTGTTTCTGTTTGATTGTTTTTTTAACTGCAGAGCCATTTGGGGATGATTCTCCCTTCTTTCTCCATAGGCAAAGCAGTTTCAAAACTATGAAATGGAGGTTTCTGAAAATAGGATCTTTCTTACTTTTTCCAAAGAGCTCCATTTCAGATTTTGTAAAGTACCTTGCCTTGGAAGGAGAAGTGAGGAGCGAAGAATGGAGCTCCAGAGACCTCCATTTTATAGCCTTGCCTTCAGAGAAAAAAAGGAAGGAAGGGGCAATCGGCACCAAACGGCTCTGTGACTACTTTGCGAAGAACATGAAAATACCAATATTACCACCCCAAAAAATGGAGGTGCAGCTATTATGTGTTGGCAACTATTAGGCGATGAAATACTGGTATTCTTTCTGGTCATCCATTGCTCCCTGTGGTTGAAACTGACACTCAGCATTTTGGTAACTATAGTCAAAATTGTAACAATTTTTGTATCTCTTCAAAATAATTTTTGTACAAAATAATCTACTTTTAAATATTTAATCCATTTTTCCTTTTTAGGACTTGTGCAAAAGCATCTTGAACACCTAATATATGTATCTCTTACATGTTGATGTTTCTCTCTTAATAGCTATATCTCCATTGTGCCATAACCTGTATGCTCTCTTTGATGAAAGCAGAAACCTATGGTATGCGCCAAATCATGTCTTCCAAATAGATGACAAAACTGCACTCCGGGTTCATTATCGTATGAGGTACATGTGATATTCAGTAATAAGATTGTTTGAATTTAAGTCTTACATTAAAACTAACTGTAATTCAAAAGTTATTCAATTGTAGTTACTAATTGAACTACAGCCTAGGTAATGTAACTAATGGTAATTAGTTACATTACCTAGGTAATGTAACTAATGATGAGGATAGAAGGGGAGCTGAAGTCCAACATTTGGTAGGCCATAGATTGGTCACACCTTATCAAAGAACTGTACAATCCTGAATTCTCTTAACCTTAAAGCACAGCAAGTTTTCTATTGTAGCTCAGAAAATAGAGAGATATAAAATTTTCTGATAACTAGAGGTTTTAAAAAGGTCAGTATTCTTGCCAATTATGGAAAAGAGGATATTTATTATAATTTTGTTACTTGATTGCAATATAGGCAGGGGACAGAAAGTATACACATAATTAATGAATTAAAGAATTAGTTACAATGCTACAATCATATGGATTGAGCGTCGTCCTAAAAAGAAAAGTATCTAATTAATTTATTCTAGTTTATATATAAAAAGTAATATACATTTTATATGATAAAACGGGCTTCTTGAAATGTGTCCTTTTATACTGTATAATGTTTCTCAACAGATTGCTTAAATCGGGCATTGGGCAAACTTTGGCCCTCCAGGTGTTTTGGACTTCATCTCTCACAGTTCAAATACAAACTTGTACGTTTATAGTGAGAGCATTTATGCAAGAAATGTTTAGCCAAGCTCTGTAATACCAGTCCTGGTACCAAACAATGTTTGTTGTTGTTATTCCTGTTGCCTATAAGTGCTTAAGTTTAAACTGCTTGTCTTAGTTTGCAATAACTGGACATCCCCAGCATCTTGTTATTAAAACAATACAATCATTAAAAGTAACAGAAGCAAGTACAGATTTTAAATGAAAAAAATATTTCTGTCCAAGGTGATTTCAGTCTCCAAAGAAACTTATGATTAAAGGGTTTTTTTAAAAAAAAAATAGATAATTGGGTAGGGTGTTCAGAATCCCAATCCAGAAGTATTACTCTTGGTTTAATCAGAATTAACAGGGTTGAAACCAGGGAACTCTTTTATATTAAAAGTTCAGGAGCTCTTCTCTTCGGTTTTAAAATTTCACAGGTAAAAATTAGTTCAACACCCAAGAAAGTAAATCATAGTAGAGGATTTCTTCAGACCATTGCTACTAACTATAACCTTGCGAGTGTGCTTCAAAAATGTTGCCAATATTTGGACTGGAAACATACCACAGAGATGTTAAGAAGCCCACAAACAGTTTCAGACAGAAGGGATTCTTTTGTGGAACAGTGAATCTCAACTCTGTGGATAAGTGGGATTGTATCAAGTTGTGGCCATTAGTATTTATTAGACAGCGTGAATATTTAAAATGAAAGCTTTAGTATCATTTCTGTTTTGGGAAGGCTTTGGACTTCATTACCTGTAAGAAAATTTTCATTTTGTCACCAGTACTTAGGTGTGAGACCTGGGTCTTAGAGCACTGAGGTTTGAAACAGCCACCACTTCTTCAAGTTGATTATTATATTTTTAATATTTGTTTTGAAGTCATATTTTTAAAGCATTAACTAACATATACAACTCCGTTTTTTTCTTAACTCTTTCTTGTTATTTTCGAAAGGTTTTATTTTTCTAATTGGCATGGGACAAATGAAAATGAGCCCCCTGTCTGGAGACATTCTTCAAAGAAATCAAAGAATTATGAAAAGAAACTAGTGCAAGAAGGAACACCCCTCCTTGATGCATTTTCACTAGAATATCTTTTTGCACAGGCAAGTGACTTCTAAGACAGGGTTTTAAGAAATCTTATATTTAATGTTGTGTTTTATAACATTGAGTCGGACTTTTTATAATTAAAACTAATAATTTTAATTTTATAATTAATTTACCCTGCCTTGAGCCACAAGGAGAGGTGGGTGGTGGTGATGATGATGATTTAAAAGAATTCTACCCTTGCTTCTGCCCTGGGGGTGGATTTAGGAATGTTTGGACCATGTTGCCCTGGCCACTTTTAAGAAATAAGTGATAGAGAAATGCAAAATTCATTTTTAGGTATATAGGACATTTTCTTTGATCACATTTTTAGTAGTGTTCAGTTATTAATTGGTTTGAATGTACATACATAGAAAAGCAGCCCAAAAATATGATGACATTTCTTGGTAACGTATATTTATCAACTGAATGTTCAGTGGTGATGTTTCATTGTATTTTTCTGATTACTGTGGAAAGTAACATGGCCATTTCATGATATTCGGTGTCCTGCACAAAACTAAAATTGCTTTCTCACACTTTAGGGACAGAATGATTTGGTGAGATGTTTTGCACCTGTTCGGGACTCAAAAAATGATCAAGAGACTCAGGAAATTCAAAACGAATGTCTGGGCATGGCTGTTCTTGCTATCACCCACTATGCAATTAAAAAAAACTTGAAGTTGCCAGAACTTCTCAGAGACATCAGGTGAGCCTGAAGTAGTTGTGTATTGTCCCATTGTAGATCTACCTTTGTTGACTAGAATATGTTAGAAAAGGAACTGCAAGCAGAATGAAGATAATGTTTTTTCTCCTGCTATTAACTAACAGTTAAGAAGACTAAGCATTTCTGGTCCTATAGCAGATTCCTAAAGAGTGGGTTGGAAAATACTTTAGAAATGAATTCATGAATTCATGCCTGTAGTTTATGAAATAAAATAAATTTTAATTTGATACACAAAGTTGCTATGTGCAAATAAAAATCAATAGGATTGTTGTAGTTTTTTTTGAGCTGCATGGCCATGTTCTAGAAGCATTCTCTCCTGACATTTCGCCTGCATCTATGGCAGGCATCCTCAGAGGTTGTGAGGTCTGTTGGAAACTAGGAAAATTGGGTTTATATAACTGTGGAAAGTCCAGGATGGGAGAAAGATCTCTTGTCTGTTGGAGCTAGGTGTGAATGTTTCAATTGGCCACATTCACACCTAGCTCCAACAGACAAGAGTTCTTTCTCCCATTCTGGACTTTCCGCAGTTATATAACCCCCCCCCCTCAAAATCGATATATTTCAAAGGGAAGTTATTAAATAGAAATGACAATAAATTGAAGATATATTTATGAATACACAGCTCCTTCAGCATTGTCGTACCATGTAGATTTTTATTAAATTATTTTTCTTTTTATCCTTGAAAATATTAAATGAAATGTCCTTTCCATCAACTAAGAAGAATAAATATTGAGCAATAAATGTGATCTTTTCCTTCCATACTCTTTTTTCCAGCTACAAACGTTATATTCCTGAAAGTCTGAACAAAACCATCAAACAGAAAAACCTTTTAACGAGAATACGGATCAACAATGTTTTCAAAGACTTCCTAAAGGAATTTAACAAAAGGACAATTTGTGACAGCAGTGTTTCCCCACATGATCTGAAAGTGAAGTACTTGTCAACCATGGAGACGTTAACGAAACATTATGGAGCAGAATTATTTGAGACCACTTCATTGTTAATTTCATCAGAGAATGAGAAGACTTTTAACATGGATGATTGTAACATCATCCCATATTATGAAGTGATAGTAACAGGCAATCAAGGAATCCAGTGGCGTGTAAAGCCGTATGGAAGTATGATACCAGTGAGTGTTAACAAGGTTAATCTGAATCATCAACAGGTTGTTGCCTCCCTGCCTCCATGGCCCAAGGAATTTCAGCTTTGGGGACACTATTTTATGGGTCTTTCTAGCCCTTTGAAGCATGTAATCGAATGTGGAAGGGGGAATTGAAAGGAGAGCAGAGTAGAGAAAGAGAATCATCCTACTTAAAAGTAGAAATACTAAAGATCAATAAGTGAAATGAGAAAGCTACCCTTTTATAATGGTACTATTCTTTTAAGAATGCAGGCTATAAATTATCCAACTAGCTAACTCAGCCATTTTTTAGTTAATACGGGCAGTCCCTGAATGACAAATACCTGACTTACAAACTGCTTATAGTAAAGAACTGGGGTGAAGCAACAGGAAATAAGATAAATCCACCCTTTGGAAGTGAAATTCATGCCTGAAAGAGTTGTCATGAGGAAAAGGTGTCTCCACTGAAGCTTTAGCATCAATCCTTATTTCTACAACAAGCCAAATTTTTCAAAATCTAGTTATCACAAGGACAGAAAGTGAGGTGAAATCTTCTGAACAGGGACTTGGACAGCAAAAAACAAACCAAACCAAAAAACAAAACAAAACCCCACTACAGGGGTGTTAACCCTTCCCTATACTATCCAAAGCTTTGTGTGTGTGTGTGTGTGTGTGTGTGTGGAAAGAATTAAGTTGAATGTGTATGTACTTTCCAACGTACACACACATTCAACTTAAGAACAAACCTACAGACCCTATCTTGCTTGTAACAAGAGGACTGCCTATAGTTTAATTGTCTTTTGCAATATGTCACTACGTTTTAGGCATATATTTTATTCCATCAAATTCAAAGTGCAGTTGAATGTAAGGCACATACAAATTTCAAGCTTTGATTTTAAGAAAAAAGAATTTTCTTATAATGTCCTTTGCATGCACAACACATTTTTTGTTGGTTTGTTTCAATACGACTTTGTAGTGCAATCTTTCTTTTGGAGTGAGGAGGAAGTGTGAAGAAGCCGCAAGTCATCTGTCTGCATGATCTATATTAAGTACTGCGGAGGCAGTAGAAGCATGTAGCGCTTAGCACAAATACCAGTAAATAGCTATCTGACCAAGACTGAGGACAAAGTAGTGGGACATGGCAGAGCCATTTGGGATTCGGGGCCTCCCTCACTCTCTCCCCACAAGACAGTTTTGCAACTGAAAAAATAGTGATTGCAAGGCTCAACCGCAAATGTAAGGCTAATTTTGAGGCCTCTTAAATGGGAAAAAGTACACCTTATTATAGATGAAATACAGTATATTTATAAGTTACTGTTATTTTGAGAAACTGCTAAAATCTAAATGTCTAGAAAAGGTTGCTGCTGGCAGCTACATAATAATGAGCCAGTAATTTTGCCTTACTGTGAACAAGCAGTATGCTAGTGAAGTTAATCTTTCTGATCACCCTTTAGAACAACTAAAGTATTTTTTTAATAAAGCGTACTAGTAAACCTATAAATCCATATTTGGGACTAACAAAAAGGTTCATAAATTCAGAGATCTTATTTTGTTTTTCTGTTTGTTTTACCCACATGCACAGTAAGAAGGCTAAGACAGGAGCAATGAACCAAATAATCGCTCATATAAACTGTGTAAGCTGTAATCCTTGTTTGTAATTGCAGTAGAGTCTCACTTATCCAACCTTCACTCATGCAGTGTTCTGTATTATCCAACGCAGTCTGCCTCCTGCCAGGATCCACAACTGTTTCAATGTATTGCAATGTTTTGGTGCTATATTTGTAAATAGAGTAACTCCTCCATAACGTTACCGTGTTTTGAGTTGCTTTTTCTGTCGTTTTGTTGTAAAACATGATGTTTTGGTGCTTAATTTGTAAAATTATAACATAATTTGACATTTAATAGACTTTTCCTTAATCGCTCCTTATTATTCAACATTTTCACTTATCCAATGTTCTGCTGGCCCATTTATGTTGCATAAGCGAGACTCTACTGTGTATGCAGTCAATCTGGTTTATCATATATCCAGTGTTCTGGTACATACTGCCCAGTCACTCTCTTTTATTTGAAAAGAGCTAAAGCTTATGAACCTAAATTCAGCTGTTGCTCTGGTTTGTTTTTTTCTCAGCAAACCTGAGATGGATTCCATAGTGTATTTTATTTGTTTGTTGAAAGAAAAGTGAACCCAGAGAGACATCTGTGCCTGGTTTGCATTCTTGCTGCAAGCTGTCTTCTTGTCCACAATATGCCAAGGTTTCCTTAGGCCCTTGGTTTCTCAGGGTGTGTGTACAAACATAGTTAGTAGCTTTGGCTGGTTTGTATTCTTTATATAAACACACCTGGCACGGTTAGAAGTGGGATTTCTTTTAAGTTGATAAAGCATTGCTAGGTCCAGATAATAAAAGCATGTTCAAATAATGAACAGAAGCCTTTACAATGCTGGCACTGACTGTGTATGTGTTTATGTGTGGTTTTAAGGAGCTGATCTGGCCATGAAATGAGTAGAATTGAGAGCCTACATGTGCAGAGATGTAAATTTACAAATCTGCCGGTATCAACACTACACTACAGTAAATGGGAAATTTCTGTTTTAACAACTCCTTTTGGAGAATAAATTCCTTGTGGAACTGGAAAAGTTATCTGGTGTTCAATACAATTGAAACATTGTCTGTTACCAAACAGCTTAATATTTAGACCAGCACTGGTTTTGAACTTTGTTTTATTACTTTTCTTTCTGGTAGTAAAATTCGTGTTTTCTCTGATCATCGACACTTTCCCTCATGTTCTACAGATTCATTGTCTCCTTCACTATTTTTTAAAAAACTATATGCATTTATTTTAACCAGGTTACTCAGACAGAGAAAGAAAAACATAAAACAAAGAGAAAAAAATCAGACGGCAAAGTTAAGAAAAATGAAGAAAAAACTAAGAGGGAAGACTGGAACAATTTTTCTTACTTTCCTGAAATCACTCACCTTGTGATCAAGGAGTCCACAGTTTCTGTCTATAAACAAGATAATAAAAGGATGGTGAGTTTGCTCAGTCCAAAAAACTAGCTCATATATATGTATTATGTACTTTTGCTTCCAGAATTGGTGACCGCTTGATTCTGTATCCTCATCCACTAATATAGTTTACAACTTAGATTTCATACTAATTGCATACTGATAGAATGGGATAGGTCTACACTTACTTAAGCACTCTGAATATGCATACATGTAAATGTTGTACCTTCAAGTCATTCCCTACATATGGTGATCCCAAGCCATGCCAGGGCTTTTTTGGCATGATTTGTTCAGAGACGGCTTACCTTTTCCTCTTTCTGAGGCTGAAAGAGTGTAACTTTCTCAAGGTCACCCAGTGGGTGTCTGTGGCTGAGTGGGGATTTGAACCCTAGTCTCTAGAGTCATAGCCCAGCACTCACACCACTACACCACATTGGGCTCTCATCTGTGCAAATTTTGCTTTATCAAATATGAGAAGACTCCCAAGTCTCTTTTTGTTTTCTGTATTCATTACAGTAGATCCATGTATTATATGATATGATTTTTGCTTATTATTTGGAACTCTGTTTTTCTTACATTGAATGAATGATATCTAATGCTTCCAGCTGAAGCATATTGTTTAGGAAGATGTAATGATGTCTAGAGAATTCTCTAGACAATTCTCTGGTCAGTTTCCAGCAGAAAATTCTGGAAAAAGTTGAACTTTGAGTCACTCCGGAGGCCTAGAGAGAATCTTTCTGTATGCTTTGCTAGGTGCTCCTCCGGAGTGACTTTGTGTATAACTGAAACGGATTTGGTGAACTCATGTAATGTGGTCTACTGTAATTTTTTCCCATTAATAAATACATTTTACCTGAAACACTGAGGATGAGGAATTATGTGCATTTAATTAATAGTACAAATTGTCAAGTAAAAATTTAAAATAAATATAGTTCTAAATATAGATGAATCTTCATTTCTCATGTGAAAAGGCATAACTCTTCCTAAAATTACTTTTCTGTTAATAGGAGCTTAAACTGTCTTCACACGGCGAAGCGTTGTCATTTGCTGCTTTGGTAGATGGTTATTTCAGACTTACTACAGATGCCCACCACTATCTCTGTACAGATGTTGCACCGCCCCTCATAGAACACAACATTAAAAATGGCTGCCATGGACCCATCTGGTTAGTTCATGTCCTTCACACACTATGTGATGGTTTTCTTGCTTTTTTCTTAGAAATCTTAACTTGATAGATTTTTTTTGCTGGGGAGGGGGGGAGAACAAACAAATATATTTTGTTGGGGGGAGAACAAACAAATATATTTTGTTGGGGGGAGAACAAGAAAGAAGAGGAAGTAAATAGCAATGACTAAAGCATGTCCATGAATATAAACTGACTTTGTTTCAGAGAACTGGAATTTTTGATATATAATTTTTAAAACTTTCATGCATATCTAAAACGGATCTTCTGACCACTGAATCATAGATGACAAATTTATCTTGTGTCCTTGCAGAATACGTCTAATTTGCAATAGTGAAAACATGCAGGGGCCTATCACATTAAATTCCATTTTGCAGAATAAAATTTAAAAGAATGTGGGCATATAACAATACAAATTTTCTAAAGAAAAACTAATACATTGTAATATCTCCAAGCCCAAAGAAATAGTGATAGGTGAATATGCTTACATGACAACCACAAAAAATATCTGTTGGAATTACTAAAATCTGTAGACAGTTCATTATTGGGGGAGATGGTTGACCTTTTTGCACACAGTTTTAGTTTATGCTGATGGCCTTAGGCTTTGTTTTTTTTAAAAAAACATAGTAAAGCATAATGGTCCCATCCCCCCCAAACTCACTGTAATATGGCAAGTTTTCCCCCATCTCTACTGTAATATTCTGCAGACCATTTGGGGCATTTTCCTTCAAGTTTTTCATATAAATTCAAGAGCATGTGGCCTTCCAGCCTCCCTTAACCTTCAGCTATTGCCCACTTCTACCGTAAACCCCCCATAAAGTAATAATGAATCATCTGCCCCCATTTAGTCCTTCAAAAATAATCGTTCTGAACTAGCATGTGCATGGTTTTTCTTCTGTTGTGAAAGGTGGCTTTGTACAGTGAGTATTTATTCTTAGTAAAGTTTTATCTTACTAATCTTGTGATCATGGAGGAGTTATGTAGGCATATATGAGTAAAGGCCCTTGAAACAATCTGAAAATGTTTTTTTCTATTTATTTTGCAATAGTTTTTACAAAGTATATGATATTGGCAAAATTGAATCTCTCCCAGAAGTACAATTTGTGAGAACATGTACCACTCAAAAAACAAACAAATGTTTTTGGAATTAAAATCAGATTTCACAATCTAGATTTCGCAGTCAATCTGCATGAGCTCTGTTTCACTATCTTTGGCAGTTTTTTCCATAATGTGTGGCAAAAAAGATTGCCTTCCTTTGAGGAGTATTTCTACTCATTTCTAAACACTTACAGCACAGATTATGCTATCAGCAAGTTAAAGCAAGAAGGTAATGAGGAAGGCATGTATGTCCTGAGATGGAGCTGTACAGACTTCAACAACATCCTCTTAACTGTGATATGTACAGAAGGCTCACAGGTATGATACCAAGTTTTGTCAGGTATATGAACAATAGATGCATGTATGTCTTTTGATATGTAAAGCCTAATTTTTGAAGAGACGGTTTGAGGGAGACTTGATGGTTTCAAACCATGATGCTGAGGATCTAACCAGAGCTTAATACTTTCTTTCTATTTATCTAAAAGCAGGAATTTTTAGCTTCCCTTGGCAGTAAGTGGTAGACCATTACTTGCTTCATTGTTGAAAGTGAACAATACATTTAAGTGAATTGAATACTCAATGGCTTTAAATATTAGTCTGCAAATTTGATAATTGGCAGATCTGAAATCTTCTGACAACCATAGTACTATCTATGAGATTGATCTCTAGGTCTTGTGTATTTCTGGTATAATAAAAATGTAGTGTTTGTTATTACCTGTCGTTTTAGGTATCCACATATTCCCCTGAATTCTGGTTTCTAGGTGTAACGAAAGTACATTTGCTTTCTTCTCAGTGTGTCATAAGATAAGATTAAAAAGTTTCAAATGCTTGCTAAAAATCACATGAGGAATTTCATTGCATTCTCTTGAATCTCCCTGTTGAAGTCTTAAATTATTTTCTGCATTTTACTTGGGTTCACTTAAGAGTGATTCTTCCTCTTCCTCTCCTTTACTTCCTTCCCCACAACAGTTTTTAAATCCACTCAAACAGTACAAGAACTTCCAGATTGAAATGAAGAAAGATGGCTGTCTCTTACATGGATCTGATAAGTTTTTTTCATCTTTGAAAGAACTGATGGACCACTTAAAAGGGCAGATCCTTCGAACAGATAATATAGAATTCACACTCAAGCGATGTTGTCAGCCAAAGCCAAAAGGTACTGTTTTTGAATTAGCATTATTTTAAAAAACATTGAATCTTTGTCATGGAGAACTGTTTGTTAGTGAAAGAGGAAATTTGTGGTATAGTGCTAAACTTGATGTCAGATTTCAGTCCAACATGTACATATTATTTATTTATTTTTTAAAGATTTGCCTTATGAGGGAATTTTGAAATTTCTAAAGAGCCAAACAGATTAAGAACCACTGGTATATATGAAGCAGAAATAAAGATATCTCATACACACGCACACATATCTGTACACACATACAGATATTCCAAAACTGGTAAAATTCCAAAATCCAAAACATTTCTGGTCTCAAGCATGTCAGATAAGGGATACTCAACTTGCACTGAAAGAATATAACAAGTTGGGATGCAAATTTATTTAAATTGTATTAGAAAATACGTCTTTTTTTTCCACCAGAAATCTCCAATTTGCTGGTGGCTACCAAACTGTCGCAAGAATGTAAGCCGGTCTATCCTTTAAGTCAGTTGAGCTTCCATCAAATCCGTAAAGAAGAAATAATACAAGTAAGTTGTTGTGGCTTTTTAAAGGTTTCATGAAAAATATAGACCTCAGAGAACTTCCCTGTTACTATTTGAGAAGTACTGATGTCTGGGATGTGTGGCAAACACATTCAACAGGTTTAATTTAAATTATATTGTAAGCGTAAGTGTTCAGGTACTGTAAATTTCTACGATGTTTAGAAATTTTAATCTTCCTTTTGTAAATTATACACGTTACTATGCTGATAACATGAATAAGAACCCAGTTATTTATTTATCAGGTTACATTTATGATTACTTCCATTATATTGGGCTCATTTAATATTAATATAGAGGTGTTTCACCTATGAAATGAGCACAGTACAATTAATGTCATATATAGTAAAATCCAAAATGTAAAATGAGGTCTTATTTAACTGTTGTCTTTGGGATGATTAATGATGGTGTTTTTCACTAAAATAAAGAAATTGTTAAGACTTTCACAATTTCTGACTGAATTTCAACTGTGTTATAGGGTGAGCATCTTGGAAGAGGAACAAAAACACAGATTTACTCTGGGATTCTAAACTATAAGGACGATGAAAGTTATCAGAGTGAAAAGGAAATTAAAGTTCTCCTTAAAGTCTTGGATCCCAACCACAGAGACATTTCTTTAGTAGGTATCTCTATTGATTCAAATATAAATAGCCAATGTCATTGTTACTCGTTTTCTTTTATATGGCTGATAGAATGACAGAAAATAAATATAAATTTCCCACTTGTTTCAATATCCTTTTGATTCTGGAGCATTCATAGGTGAAAGTTTATCCAGATGCCCATGTATTATAAGTATGCTAGGTGAGTTGAAGCACAGCTCTTTGTATTATGAAATTCTGTCTTCTCTTGCCACATCTTGCCAGTTTGGTATGAAACTTACAAAATATTTTTCACTACATTATGTATTACTTGGGAATTGTTTCTGACATCACACATATGGGTCTTGTGCACAGGACAGCTTAGAATTCTCTATAGCTTTAAGAAGCCTCTTGGTGAAGCCCTGCCCACCTTCCCCTAGAGGATATATAGCCATCAGGCGGGGCTAGCATCTCAGTTCCTCTGCCCTTATGACAGCAGCTTACAGAAACCGAGTTTCACAGATGACAAGATGTCACCTAGTAGCTGTTTTAGACATTTGCACGAATCTGTTGTGCAGTGTTTACAGTGGACTTTCCAGAAGATACTTCACCTTTACTTCGTAAAAAGGAAAATCAGCAAGCCTTTCAAATGCTGATTTGGTATCAGCAAATGTTTGGGGTTTTTACCTATTTTATATACCTACATCTTTGGATCATGTAAACATTTATTGAACCAAAAAAGGTTGTGAGTGGAAACATTGAAGAAGCCTTGATCTGGAAGTATTGTTCTCCCATTCATTGAACAGGATTTTTCTTGTGGTTCATAGCAACTTCAAATAGTAACGTAAACACATTCATATCACTGAACTTAGCATTCTTGTGGGAAGACTTTGTTGATTTATCCTTTCATTGTTTTATTGACCTTAAATCTCTGTTGAGTTGCCCCTGAAATGTGTTTATTTTTAATAGGCATTTTTTGAGACAGCAAGCATGATGAGACAGATTTCCCACAAACACATCGTCCTTCTTCACGGAATTTGTGTCCGTGATGTAGAAAGTAAGTAATTATATATGTCTGAAGTTGTAATTATCTAGTCCAAATACACAAAAGGACAAGATCTTGTCTGCTTTTGGAAGCTCAGCAGGTCAGCTCTGGTTAGTACTTGGGTAATTATTGTTGTCATTGTCATCACTTATTTATATAGAGCCATCTTTGTTTTTGGCATTTTATAAGTTAAAGAACAATAAAACTGACCCTGCCTTCATGGTTACAATCTGGTTAAGATGTGACACAAGATGAAATGGGAGGGGATTAAGTCCAGCAAATACTGTCCCTACTTCCAGGTGTAGAGATGATTGAATTGTGCCTGCCTCTTCATTCCTTCTGAGGCGAAAGCAGTGGCAGTTGGGGTGGAGGTCAACTGTTTTGCATTTCCTAGGTGTTGCAAGCCACTGCTCCTTAAACTATGCGTCCAAACCCCAAATGGGTTCCCCTTAGCTCAGTGTTGGAGTCATGACAAATTGGCACCAATAAAAGGTTTCTGAATATTCTATTTGTATCCATCATGAAAGTGCACTGACCATTAAACTATATGCACTACAGATTTACTTTCCCTTTTGCTGCAGACATTATGGTCGAGGAGTATGTTGAATTTGGACCTCTGGATCTCTTCATGCGCCGCAAGAGTGTTTTGCTAACGACACCTTGGAAATTCAAAGTAGCAAAACAGTTGGCAAGTGCATTAAGCTATCTCGTAAGTCCTAGATTTGTTTTTACCAGAAACAATAGTCTAATAGATGATATTTCTGGAAGACCGTTCATATATGTTTGTTTGTTATCTGTTTTGAAATTCCCATACACATGGATTTGTTTATTTATTCCATTTATTTAACATATAAGTAAAAAGTTCAAGTTGAATCTTTAACAAAATATTGCAAAATGCACTGTTCAGGTTTCTGCATAAGCCGTTGCCTTCACCATACCCCAGTTTGTGTTTTTCACCCTTCAGAGCAGTCAGTTCCCACTTTGTATCTATTGCACAAGCTTGATTTTCATCAGATTGTGAATAAGAAAATGTGGGGGCCCCCACTCCAGTTAGGTTTTCTAAAACATTGAATGAGTAATATACAGAAGTGAAGGATGCCTCAAGATGGCAGTATTAATAATTTTCATGTGAGTCATTGAGGCAGTATAAGAATATTGAGATTGCTAGATTTATGATAATTATTTTCATCTTTTGCAGTAATACCCTAGTTGATCATACTGGCTATCCAGTGCTAAATTATATAGGCTATAGAATTTGAATGTGAACATAGGATTTGGACCCAAATATAGGTTAAAGAAGATTGTAAAAGGAGCTTTGTCTTGCCCCATTTTCTTCCCCACTGCAATGGTCTTCAGTCTATCAATCTCAAAAAAGAAACTTGTCTAGGGGGTAAGGATTCCCTCCTGGGAAATATAATTTTAGGACTACAACTTCTGGTCTTTAGTGCCATGGAGATTCTGGAAGTTGTGGTCCAAAATGACCATTTGGAATGGCCATTAATTATGATTTTGGATAACCTGATTTTAATATGTCTTATAAGATTGATATATTTTTAATGATTGTTTAATATATATGTTTATTTTATTGTGTATGCATGTTTACATGGCATCAAATCTTTGCCTATATATGTAAGCTGCCTTGAGTCCTGTATGGGGTTGAGAAAGGTGGGGTATAAATAGGGTAAATAAATAAATAATTTTTCCAGGTTTTGAACTCAATAAGCTTCTGAGGGAGGCAGGGACAGCTAATATTCCTAGTATGAAGTTCCTTTGCTTGATTTAGCATTCAAGCCATATTTCTATCCCTTTCATCATGTTCAAAATGTGTTCACCTTATTTGGATTGTAAGGTTGGAACATCCTAATGCATATTCTCTCATAAATGCAGGAGGACAAAGATTTGGTACATGGGAATGTGTGCACCAAAAATATATTATTGGCCAGAGAAGGAATTGATAATGAATATGGACCTTTCATAAAATTAAGTGACCCAGGAATTCCTGTTACGGTGCTTTCTAAACAAGGTATTGTTAAATATGTATGTATTTTCCAGGATATTAAAAACACACACACACACAATTTACTGGTTCATGCTTTCTGTTCTTATACATTTCCCTACAATACCATACCTCATACTGCATCTCAGGTTATATAATTATTTGGTGCCATCATTGGCGATCATTCGTGTCTGAGTAAGATGGCCTTCCAAGTGTAGGGTCTTGATGGCGGGTCCGAAGGTGACTGTGGAGATCTTTTCTTGACCCACATGTTCTTTCACAGTGAAGACATAGGTTTCCAGATGGAAGGCAGTTCCGATCAGGGTTGGCTTGATGTGCCTTCCTCTTGACACATTTCTCGCTTTCATCCTCCATTTTCACCCTTCAGAGCAGTCAGTTTCCACTTTGTACCTGTTGCACAAGCTTGATTTTCATAAGATTGTGAATAAGAAAATGTGGTTCCCCCACTCCAATTAGGTTTTCTAAAACATTGAATGAGTAATATACAGAAGTGAAGGATGCCTCAAGATGTCATCCTTCCATAGCACTGTTGGTAACAGCTGATCTCCAGTTAGAACGCTCAAGGGCCATGGCTTTCCAGTTCTCAGTGTCTATACCACAGTTTTGAAAGTTGGCTTTAAGCCCATCTTTAAATCTCTTTTCCTGTCCACCAACCTTCCGTTTTCTGTTCTTCAGTTGAGAGTAGAGTAACTGCTTTGGGAGACTGTGATCAGGCATTCGAACAGCGTGGCCAGTCCAGTGGAGTTGATGGCAGAACTTCAATGCTGGTGGATTATTTGGTGTATAACTGGCAAGACTTAATTGAAATCTTAGTACTGGTATTAGGAATATTGCTTTACCCACATTGTGATGATGATTTCCCTAACTTAGTAGTACATTCCGTGAAGTAGTGAACTATTTTGCCAGCTCTCGGCTGGCTGCCAAAATCACTCATTTGTTGATGCCAATCTCTAGCCTTGGGAGAGAAGGACAAGTCTTTAGCTCTTCACATTGTTTCCAGAATACTAATTCATTTCCAATGAGATGCTTAGCCCTCACTAAGAAGAACAATTAATTCAAATTGTTTCTTTATTTATATCCTGCTTTTCTTCCAAACATGGAATATTTCAATGAACTGCACTCTTGGACTATTTAATGTGTATGCCAACTGTGAGATTCTTAAGAATGGGGGAATCAATCTGTTTAATATGGGAATGCCATTCACATGCTATCTAAAAAGCTGAAATTTGCTATACCTGTATATCAGAAATCTCAAATGAAGTATGGGCATACATTAGGATACATTTATTAGAAAAAATATGAAAGAAAAATGTGTTGCAAAAGTAAGAAATATATTCTCACATTGATAAAGTACTTTCAGGCTACATGGAATTATGAAACTTGACACTTTCATTATCAGGATATTCTTAAATGGGACATTTTTGTACCTAAGAACCAAAATATATCTCTTAAATTGATGCCAGCATTCCAGGACAGAACAAGATGTACAATATGATAGAGAAGGGTGTAGCAATGTCAGTATTTTAATTTGTGTCTTCTTGCTTGGCTATGAGGGTAGAGGGCATTTCTAGTAGCAGCCAAAGAAATAGATTGTTTCCTTGTGCTTTTTTTTAAAAAAATGAAAAAGCTCGATGAAAGCCTTTCCTTGTCAGGTGGAAAGGCTTTCGCCCTTGATCCTTTTGGTTTTCCCAGCTGTGTTGTGATCAGTTGTGAGACAGAAGAACTCGAACTGAAGCCTGTATTCTAAAATACTGCCCCCCCCCCAATAGAACAATGTAATAGTGCAGCAATGTGTATCATTTTCTAATAGTCCCCAAAAGCAAGTTTGGCTTTTCCATTGCTAGAGTTGATGCTCTCAGTGTGCTTCCTACTTCAGCATCAAAACTTCTGTCCAGAAGAATCAAAGTTTGTACTGTGTCTTTGTGTATATTTGAAATACAAATAATCCTCATCATCTCTGGTGAAATGTAGACATTTATGTGAGAGATGTTCAGAGTCAGGATTTTTTAAAGTCAGATATCACATGCTTTAGCTGCTTCCACATCACTTTCTTTGCTCATCACTTTTCTTGCAATTGTCACATTTAATATAGTCTTGTGTGCACCTGATAGTATCTCTTTAGTTATAGGTCATCTTCTTCAAGTTAATTCTTATTTCATCTAAAGAACATTATGCATTTATTCCTTTATTATAATTCATTGCAACGCCTTTTCTTCTTCTTCCAAGAATGTGTTGAGCGCATCCCTTGGCTTGCACCTGAATGTGTTGAAGACTCCAAAAATTTGAGTGTGGCAGCAGATAAATGGAGTTTTGGTACAACATTGTGGGAGATTTGTTACAATGGAGAAATGCCACTTAAAGACAAGACATTAGCAGAGGTGAGGTGACTGTAGGCTTTTCCTAGTAGACTCTAATTTTGGAGGAAACAAACATCTTACGGGATAGGAAGAGGTAGTTGAATGACCTCTTCCTTGAGTCAAATAGGCTTATTGACTTCTTCCAGCACAAGGCATAATCTGAGCAGGATAATAAAATAATAAAAATATTTGTTTTTCCCATCCCGTGTTGCAGAAGGAAAGGTTTTATGAAGGACGTTTCACACTTAGAACGCCATCTTGCAAGGAGCTGGCTGATCTGATGAAGCAGTGCATGCACTACGATCCTAACCAGAGACCCTTCTTTAGAGCAATTATGCGAGATATCAACAAACTGGAAGAGCAAAGTAAGAACATCTATCCTTATTATTCCTTGTCTATAAGTGAATGTTATTTTCTTTGATCAGTGGGATTGTTCAATGTAGTACCTTCATGGCAATATAAAAACACGGCTGCATATCCCACCATTTTTGTTGTTGTTCCAAAACTAATAGTAAAGAGTTTTGCAAAGGTTTTGCATTCTGAGATCTGAAATCAGTCATGGTCCTGGAGTAGAGATGCACAGAGTATGTTGTTGCATATCAATTGCTTAAGAAGCATTCTCTGTGAAGTAGTATACTTGCAGTCTGGCCTATTACTTAGTTGCTGTGATTGTGCTGCTTTGGTATAGTAACATACCAGTAGTTGGCTGGCTGGCAGTCAGCTCTGAAACAAGGAGACTAGAACAACAATCCAAGTGCTTGATCCAACTAAAGATAACTCATTTAATGACTATTCTTTTAGGCAGAAGTTTAGAAGTTCTTTGATCTTCACCTTTAAACATATCAAGTTTGCTGTTGTGTACTTTCAACTCGTTTCTGAATTGTGATAGTTTAATATCTGAATTTAAAATAAACTCCATATAAAGTTTTCAAAGTGCAGTGTTGATTTCTCACATATGCCTTTCTGTCAGATCCTGAAATTGTCTCAGAGAAGAGGCCCAATGATGATGTTGACCCTACCGTTTTTGAAAAACGCTTTCTGAAGAGGATTCGTGACTTAGGCGAGGTATGCTTACTACTACTCTTTCTCCATACTTATCAAATACTACTACAAGTGCTGTGCAAAGCACACAAAAAAGAAATCCTGTACCTTGCAGCAAGAGTGTTCCAAAAGATGTCTGGCTTTCTTACAGTCATTGAGCAATACAAAGCATGAACAGATTTCTTTAAATGCAGCTTCTGGATTTTCATCACTTTTTTTTCTCAGTCCACTCCTCTTCATCAAGATAACTGATCAGGATAATTGGAAATAGGAAGTAAGAATGACCTGTAATATTTTTCATGAATTCTGGAAAATGGTGGTCAAAAACAAACAATATGATCACTAAAAAGGTCAAGAAAACCCAAGAAACGTGCTTATTAGGACTATTTAGAAGGTGTATTAGCGCAGGAGATGATAAATTTGTCAATATTGCTTTGTTGCGGTAAGACTAATAATAGCTAAAACATGGAAGGGGGGGAAAAGAGGTAACTATTAAAGATTGGAGAGATAAATTATTAGATTATATCCAAATGGCTAAGATGACAAATAGTAGCAGAGAAAGAAATAATGAAGAATTTGCAAGCAAATTTAGGCTTGCACTTGGGTATCTGAGAAAGAAGACAAAGATAGATTTGATGACTGCCACAAAGGGGATTTAGTGAAAGAAGACATATAGTAGTTGTCAGCTAGTTATGTGATCCCCATTGAGGGGTGTCATGGAGGTTGGGTTCATAGGTGCGGGGTTGGAGGGATTAGGATATTATAAGGTACAGTAACTGTACAAATAGTATCACATGTTTAATGAGTGTTTGCTGTATATATTTTATTTGGTTAGAGCATTCGAACTGTCAAGGAGGCTTGATTCAAAAAGCATTTTAAAATAAAATAATGTATTCCCCCTGTTTTAAAAACCAGGGCCATTTTGGCAAAGTCGAACTCTGCAGATATGATCCTGAAGGCGATAACACCGGAGAGCAAGTGGCAGTGAAGTCCCTAAAGCCCGACTGTGGTGGGAACCATATCGCAGACCTGAAGAAAGAAATTGAAATTCTTCGAAATCTTTACCATGAAAACATTGTAAAATACAAAGGGATCTGCACAGAAGACGGTAAACTGTGGATGTTCTGAACATGTTCTCTTTTTTTTTTCCTTTCCAAGTTTCTTATGTGAATTGTTCTCTGTGAGAACCTCTTTACTTTTTGGAGAAACCAATTCATAAAACTCAGTTTTGATCCTGCTGAGAGCATGCTGACATAACAAATGATGGGTGATCCCTTCCTCCCTTCCTTCCTTTCTCATCTAAAACATATTATTTTTAGTAAAATGGAAAGCATTATTTTCTGTGTCCCTTCAAAGGGCAAGTTCTGTTGGCAGTGAGGAATATCCTCCCACTTGTCCTCTATCCCTGTTATCTTAAGTTGATGCTCAAAGCCAACATTGAGATTTCTGCTATGTGCCAGAATTTGGCTCAAATAGCTCCTCAGGAGCTCTGTTTTTTCCCCCCCTTGGGTCAATTCTATTTCTGAAAAATTTCATTTGGAATACTGTGAGAGCTCTGAAACGAAATTAATGGAGGATGTGGTATAGGCCCTTCAAATGCCAGTGCATTATGTAAATCTTGAAGAAAAAAAGAAAACGTTGGCAGGAGATTGGCACCAAGCCCATAACTTTGTGAGATTGTCAATCTGGTGAAACTAGCAATTGCTGGATTCCTTCTGAAATGTCATTACATGTGTTTAGTCTGCTAGTCTTAGATTTGTTTGTGGAAGCCGCACTCCAACTGCTGGATTCTTGAAAAGCACATACTCACAAAGCTAGTTTAATATGATTATTGGCTGCCTTTGACTGTTTTTGGAACCACTTCTGTAGTAGGAAGTGGCATCAGTAGACAAAGATTCAGATTCAAATATCGATTTTGTGAATAGCCTTCAGAAGGACACCTTCATATTGAATTATGGCTTCTAGAAACAATATATTCTCTGGTAGCCTTCACTAGAAGCCCAATAGAAGGAGCCACAGGACTTGTCTCGGTTGGAAGAGCTGGAACGCACAAAATGAGAGAAGGAAGGGAGGTGCAGTTGCCTTTTAGAGTAGTGGTTCCCAACCCTTTTTTGACTAGGGACCACTATCCAACATTACTACCAAAAGGGTTACAAATCGGTTTTTGGTCAACTTTAGCTTTGATTTGGTTATTTGGGTTCTTGTTGCAACTGTGTAGTAACAGTGAGGCTGCAGACCATATTTTAGTTCTTGCGGATCGCTGGTGGTGCCTGGACCACAAGTTGGGAACCACTGTTTTAGAGGAATGGAAAGCACTTAATGTTAACACTTCAGGTTTTTAAAGTTTTGGCTTAATAAAAAGTTGCTCCTAATAAGTATCTGAAGTGCAATCTGATTCTTTAGTATTTATTTGTATTAATTACATGTGTATCCCAACTTTCGACTAAACATAGTTGTCAAGCATAATTTAAAATAAATTAAGGACAAATTAGAATAAAACCACTAAAAATATAACACTAATAAAAACAATTCCAATAACCACAATCAGCTTGATGTGTGAAACACAAAACAAAGCTGCATCTAGAAGGCACAGTGGACACTGAGTTTCCAAATTAGTTGTTGTAGCTAAATATGTAGAGCAGGCAAACAAGAATCCTCTTTACTCCAAACATTAATGGGATGCCAAGGCACTTTGAAAATACTGGTTCAAATTGTACCAGAGAATGATTCAGAATATTTAAGGAAATTAACTTTCTTATTTTGTGAAATAACTCAATTACTTTTTTCGCAAAGGTGGAAATGGAATTAAACTCATCATGGAATTCCTTCCTTCTGGAAGCCTAAAAGAGTATCTTCCCCGAAACAAGAATAAGATCTGCTTGAAACAGCAACTGAAATATGCTGTACAAATCTGTAAGGTAAATTCTCTTGGTATTGTATTATATGTAGTGGTAGGTATTTCGATCCATTGGTGTTTATTATAATGTTTGTATTGCATAATAACACTTTGAAATTATTATTCAAAAATAAAAAGAACTTGTTCGTTTTTTGGGGGGGAAATCATTTGATTTTTTAGACAGTTCAAACATTAGTTTTGAAAAGCTAAGAAAATAACAAGATTCAGCATTATGCTTTGAGCAGATCCTTTAGTGGTGCTTTGAAACGCAATAATTGGAAGAGTGTGAAACAGATGTGAAAGTTTTGTGTGCACTTTCTTCACTGGCAGGGAATGGATTATTTGGGATCTCGCCAATATGTTCATCGAGACTTGGCCGCACGAAATGTTCTCGTTGAAAATGAGCAGAGAGTAAAGATTGGGGACTTTGGACTGACCAAGACTATTGAGACTGATAAGGAGTACTACAAAGTCAATGATGATCGGGACAGCCCTGTGTTCTGGTAAGGAGATATCTACTGGCAGTGTAGTAGAAATACAGCAGGTTTGTGCTGCAAAAGGCAAGAACGTTGTGTTTAAAACTTCCTGTATATGACTGTAGATTATTCAAAAGCTTAGAGTCAGGCTTTCTTGTCCAGTCCATACAACTACTGTTCTGTGTTAATAAAATCACTTGTTTATGTGAGTTAGTCATAAGGACAGATAATTGTATTGCCTACTTCAGTCTGATGGGTGTTTATTTCCATAAATATCCATGAAATGTAAAGTCTTCTTTTAATCAGTTCATATTTATCACTTGAACACCTATTTCATTAGTCCAAGAATGGTGACGGAGTGGCCCTTCAAACACGGGACTGCCTCTGCTACAATCCATGATCAGGTCTTGCTAGACAGAACCAATGGGAATGAAGTCCAGCAACACTTGGAGGGCCACATACACCCTTGGGCAGTACTTGTCATCTTTTGCATGCTTTTCTTGTTATTTTTGATTTGCAGTCCACGCCATTATCCATCATGTCTTACTTCTAATTATTTTCATTTTTTCCTGTTTTGTTTTCCCTCCCAATGGGTTGTGTGCAAAATCAGGAATTATAACTTAATTTGGAGTGCTGCTATTATCTCTGTATTTACATTAATACCACTATACATAAGTTAATATCTTACTATTTAAATTTGAAATATGCATTGGCTGGCATCCTGGTAGTTACTCTCACTAAAATAGACTTACCATCATTATCGTCATCATTGTTGTTCCCTACCAAAAAAGGCTCAAAGTAACTAACATAAGAAGCCAAAACAATTGATCTAATCAATCAATCACTGAAAAGTGGATTATCATAAAGGTAAATACCACTGACTAGAATAGATCTACGCTGGTCAGGAATAACAACAGGATTTTGGCCATTTTGTGTAGCAGACTTATCAAAAGAGTAAATGCCACCTTTTATGTCTACAGGTATGCTCCAGAATGCTTGCTGCAGAGCAAATTCTATATTGCTTCAGATGTTTGGTCTTTTGGAGTGACCCTCTATGAACTATTGACATATTGTGACTCTGATTGCAGTCCAATGGCAGTAAGTAGCTGGAAAAGAATGTGACGTTTTCACAATGGAGATTTTGGATTTTGCAAAGGGTCAGTTTTCAACATAGACTTAGAGAGGTCTCTTGGTTTCGAAATGTTTTCAGGTAGGAAACAGAGGCAGTGCACCACACATGGGTTCATCTCTTGCACCAACCTTTTCAAAGGGTTATTCAGGGGTGAAGGTCAGTGTATTGCTTGATTCTGGACATGGAATAAAAGAAAGCTCCTTGTATTTAGTTTGTGGCTACCGCCATCTGCCTCAGGAAGTCGCTGATTGACTAATGCAAATTAGTTTTGTAACCTGAGAAAAGTCTGTGATGTCAGCAATCCAAAGCTGGCACATTCTCCACTGGTGGTACGATTTGTTTAGCTGAGCCAAACTAGTATAACTGGTTTAAATGAGTATCACTGAGTAAGTCCTGCTCCAATATTTTGGGTCAGCAGTGTGCATTGCCTTGGAGTTTCTTTTTAAGGTTCTTTTGAAAAGAAGCAAGTCAGGTACTTCTCTGTGGACCCCTGTGAAATGGGCTTGCACATTAGTTTCGGAACTTTCTAGTGGCTTTAAGATACATTTTGGCAGAAGCCCTGCCCACTCTCCCCTTGATAGTATATATAACCAGTGAGAGGGTCTATTGCCCCAGTTCCTTTTTTCTGCCACAAGTGCAGTATTAGGAACATCTCTCCTGCTTGTTGGACTAGCTACTGACCTCAATTTGATCAATATCCTAAATTGTGGTTTTGACTTTGGGCTCCTCTGCCTATGTCTCTTCTCCACAATTTGGACTGTACACCTCTCTGTCTTCTCAGCTGACTGGAGTGCCTAACTGATCCTCCTCCCAGGCCAGTTGCCTCACCCAGCTATTGAATATCGCCAATGTGTCCACTTAAAAAAGTGCTCCCAATGTTGGGGGAAGCTCCCAGACATGGACAGCCACTCAATGCCCTCTCCTAGGCCTGTTGTGCTTAGGAGAGGGCAACGCGCCCCATTCATGCCCAATTTGCCAATCCTTCACTCCCCAGACCTGTAAGAACAGAGAGATACGATATTTGTGACCCAAAAGATAAAAGAGAAGCTGTGCTTTATTGTTTAGGGGAAGAGTTCCATCCCTTTTTAAAATGGCGCAGAAGTGTTTTCAAACAGCGTTAGAGTGGGAAATACGTCTTTGTTGCTCAGAAATTGGGCCAGCGTTCACTCGTTGCAATCTAGTGGCAACTAATTTAACTGGCTGTAGAAGAACTGCACATTTCTTTATCTAATTGAAAGCAATACATTAAATATTGTCAGCAGATACTGCATATTCATATTGCATTGTTTTATTAGGGTATGCAGATAGTCTTGAGTCCTATTCCTAAGGTTTGTTGCAAACATCAAACTGCTTATAAAGATCTTATGAGCCACCATAAATACAGCTGCGTAGACAGGTGCAATGATGGGCACAGCAGCAAGGATAAAATGAGCAGCCACAGGAAAAAGCAGAAACCAGCCACCTTGTCAATCTCCCAAGAAGTTTCTGTTGATTCTTGTGTAACCTTGTCCCCACTGTGCCTAGTTTGCATGAGGGTATTCAAAAGTGAAAAGAAATCTGGGAAGGCTCTCTTGGGACATTATTTGTCCTGCCTAACTCTGTGGGAAGTGGCGAGATGTTTTTACTGCCTCCTCTGCAGTTCTGCTGCACAGCCCTGGGGGAAAAAGTGGGTTAAGCATCATAGGAGAACATTACACCAGCATGGTACAACAGGATTGCAGTCTCTGTAGTATTTCATAGTAGTTGAGCAAGTAACAGAGCTAGACACATTCACTTCAACTTAAGTTGAAGTCTGAACTTGAAGAGCTCTCAATTTGCGAAGCGTTTGGAATACTCTCTCTTCTCCTTCTGTGTAGCAACATTTGGGGAAGTGTGTGCTTTTGTATTTCACTTCCCCACTGCCACGTTTATTCTCCTTGGACTCAGAAAAGACCTAATTTGCCATTCAAAATTGGCTTGAGTCCACAAAGCCCCAGTTTTCACCATTATTGAGTTCCCTCCCTCTCTCTTTCTCACAGACCCAGTCTGCCAGTTTGGATGCACTTCCTGTCCTCTTCTTAGTTCATTTTATCATCTGGTCCACAGGTCCCTGAATGCCCACTTCTGCTAACAGGATAGTAAACATGTGTTTTTTATAATATTTACAGGAATTCTTAAAGATGATTGGGCCAACCCAAGGTCAGATGACAGTCACGCGGCTTGTGCGTATATTAGGAGAAGGAAAGCGTTTGCCATGTCCCAAAAGTTGCCCTGAAGAGGTAAGCAGTTAAAAATTGGAGACCTACACAGTTCTCACTCCTGCCCTAAAGGCTGACTTCATAAGGCTTCAGAGAAGTTTGCAGTGCTTGAGCTACCAAGCACATTGAAGGGAAGCATGTGGATCTGAGGAAATTCCTAAACAGAATGAGATACTTCTGATGAATTTTTTGTCTCTGGAAGCCCTCAAACCCAGAGTACTAACAATCATAGCGGGGGAGACGGGGGGACCCATGTCTAAATGTATCCTGGTTGCAAAATCCCACATTCCTTGCTTGAACAGACAGATTTGCATTACACAGCTCCTGTTCTCATCAAATGCCTCAAATTTGGAGGATTCTTGGTATTTCTTGAACCATTAGAAAGTATTTGGGAATTTTTGTATAATTTTGGTTGGGTTGTGGCTGAGAAACAGCTGAAAACCCCACTTGATTACACTGGCCAACCCATATTTTGGTGCCTCAAATATCAGTCCTATTTCTAGGTATATTTAACCTAATTTTAAAAATGGCATCAATTTTTCTCTTATCAGTTCTAGTTTTTGAGATACAGAGCATGTGCCATATATGAGTCGTCACTTGCTCACCCATAGAAAACTATGATGACCATAATTAAGAAACTAGAGCTGATGCTTTCTATCCAATGCAATTCTTTGCTTCAGCACCTCAAATAACCATAGGGACAGGCCTAAAAACCCAAACACCAAGTTTGTTGTTGGGCTTTGTTATGCACGTCCAGGATCATGTTGTGCATTCTGGAAAAATCGATAAGGAAAATGACCCTGTATATATCTGAATATTCCATATGGGATTAATTTCTGTTCCAGATATTATGATAATTGGGGGTGGAGGGATGAAGTCAAATCCTTTCTGATGGTATGTCGATCAAGATGACTTTGCAGGGACCCTACGAATGAAAGACCTCAGGTCCTTATACCTGTAGTGTAGTCTTCCGCTTTCCTTGCTGCCATCCACTTTACCAAGCATCATTGTCTTGTTTGTTGTTGTTGGTAGTGGGTTACTCTTTAACTTCCATGTTTTAAAAAACTTATTATAGATGTAACAAACTAAAATGTTTGCAGCATTTAACCACATTGCCTTAAAATATACAGTATTACATCTTCACACATTTAATTAAAGTTTTATCCAAACTTGAAAAAGGCAAAACTGAATTATAAATCATAAATACTACTGAACTTCCCATTTATCTTTATGTACATCACTACATGCTTTTGAAGAATGATCCTTCTGTGATGTCTGTTAACTCTTATAAGTACCTGAAGCATTTCCCCCCTTTGAGGGTTCTTGGGCTATATACGTGTCTTCCCTAAGTGTGACTGTACGATCTACATAAAAGGTCTGGATCTTCCTTAAATGAAAGATTAACATGTTTTGAGTCTGCCTGCTTTTTCTTTTCTAGGTTAATCAACTGATGAGGAGATGCTGGGTGCATGACCCTGGCGAGAGGACAACGTTCCACAATCTGATTCAAGGATTTGAAGGATTTATGAAGAAGATGTAATCCAAGATTTTTATACTATTCACTGTCAAATATTTGAGGTCTTTTATTACCCGTTGTAATTTTGTACTTTGGTAACACTGTGTTTAAAGGCACTTTCTTTTCTCTTAAGTGTTCCTCTTCCAGTAGGAGCCAAGAAGTACACAGAAATCATGGTTTGACACTTCTCTGGTCAATATTTTATTCTCACAATGGTCAAGGCCCTACTTCTTAGAGATGTGACTGAAGATTCTAGTCAGCATTCTGCTATTTCTGACAGTCTAAATTATTTGAGAACTGTGGCCTTAAAACACAAATTTTAGTCATTTGTCTGTGCACAATTTCAATTATGTTGTATTCAAACAAAACATACCAGAAGAAACAGTTTCATGACTCAGTGAGTAAAAAAAAAGTATGTTAATAGTAGTTCTTTCATAAAGATACAAGATATCCTCAAAATGTATATATCCTAAAGAGCCTATAATTATGTTTTTAAAAAAATCAAAAATATGTACACTCTTAGCAGAATTAAAGATTACAGTAGCAAAGAAGTAATCTTTAAGTGGGATTTGTGATTGTGCTTTGACAATGCAGCAGGGATAAAAAAACTAACACCTTACATAAAATTGTAATTGAAGATGGAATTTGTAATTCTGATTAAATCATCATTATAACATTGATAGTTGTGAATAGTTGTTAAAGCAGGTGTGGACAAACTTCAGTCCTCCAGGTGTTAGGAGTTGTGGAAGTCCAAAACACCTGGAAGACAAAAGTTTCCCCATGTCTGCTTTAAAGTGAGTATTGTGCAAAAATATTAGATCACTTTTTAATTGGGATCCTAAAAAGCCATATAACTACTTGGGTATAACTATTAGGGGTGTGCAAAATTTCATCTTTAATTCATTTTTCGGATCAAATCATTAGATTTGTGCATATGAATTGATGTTAGAAACATGCAGGAAAGGTGTGTGTTTGTGGGGGGCAGGATTAAGAATCAAAACACTCACCAATCATTTTCGTTAAGATTTTGTAACATTCGGATGCCTCCCAAGGTCACTTGGGAGAATAAGCATTAAGCAACTTTGGTAAAGCCAAGAGAACAAAAAGCATTTTAAAAACCAGTCCTTTTTCTTTGGCCTGATTGTCGCCATAAGCAAAGGTACTTGGGCGGGACTAGCAAAATTAATGGGCAGGAGATTGAGAACACGTCATTCTTAAAAATGTAGTTTGGGAAGGCAAGGCCTCCTGTGGCAGAGAATGCAAACGCCCCTGCCCTAAGCTACATTTCCCAGAATGCAATGCTCAGCATCAGAAAGTCCCAATGGGTGGCACCATCTGTTTAGAGTCAGTCTAATAATAATAAATAAAATTATTGAATTTGCAAAGAGAACTAAAGTAAATAATAGTATAAACCTGTGCTAAGTTGAAATTATGTAGTTCAGTGTCATAAAGATGACAAACATTCAAGGGCATTGCTGTTGTCGCTTTTGTGGGGGATAAATTATTTTTGTCAAAACTTTAAAATCCCCAAAAATCTGTAGATGTGTGAATCTTTCTGAAGCTTCTGGGGATTCGTGCTCTAGTTATCTTTTGCATTGTATATAAAAATTCAAGTAGATAGCTCTTGTAGGTTTTTTTTAAAAAATGTTGTTTATAAAAAATTTGAAAATTCCCCAAAAATCTGTGGATAAATGAAACATTCTGAAATTTGGCAGGCTAACAGTGGTCAATGTGTTCTACATTGTAGCAAATTTCACTCCAACAGCTTTAAAAATGAGAGAAAGCCCCTGAAGGTGTTCCCAATTATAGTAATTATGTGCAATTACTATAACAAAATAGTAACGAAATTTTGTTACTCTCGTTATAGTAACAATTTTGTTTCTTAACAATACTTTAGAAACACTTTAGAAATGAAGTGGCAGTGTCCCCCAGTTTTTTAATGCCTTTTGAACCATTTTTTAAATGGATCGCACATCCCTAATAACAATACATCCAAAGGGTTTAAAGAGCTATTGTGTCTTAAACATCAGTGATTTCATGTCTGTGAGCAAATACCTGTTGTACCTGCCTTAAACATTCAGAAGCACTTTCTATTACAGTATATATGACATGTTCAAAACAACTTCAAGGACAAAAAAAACCCTTTCAAAGTCACCACTGAGCATGCTCATATTTTGGATTGCTGCTTCTGTTCATACATATGTTGCATTTATAAACTTTTGCTAGTATTTTTTATACCAATGCTGTCCCCTCAGATGGGAAGTTTATATTGTATTGCCTGATCTTCAATAAGAGTGCTCATTTATTTATTCAAAAGGAGTAATTCTATCATTTAAAGAGTTGCCTGATAAATGTGTTACAGGACAGAGTGGAAGTGTTAGGGTTACTCTTGCAGGGGGAGAGGTCAGTCCATGGAAAGTGTGCCCTAAGGAAAGTGCACCTAATGTTCATTAGAGATGTTTCTTGACTGAATGCTGAAATAATTATGAGACTCGGAAGTAACATTTTAATATATACACCTTGTAGGCATCCAAAGGTGGTCACAAGACATGAGAACAAAACTGCATTTGTGGAAAAGTGCACTTAGTAATCTGTAAAAGGAATATGTTGATCCTTGTGCGTGACAACATGGGGGCTGTTATATTTATCAGACTAAAGATAAAAAGAAAGTTATAAGGATGAATTGTTTTTGGAAGCCATAATCTCTGGTCTAGCAAGATGGATGTGTCTAGGTGCAAATAGGTTTCATTGTGGATTCCAGCAAATACTGCAAGAAGTTGCAAGAGAGAATAGACCATAGTGATAGAAGCTGTGAACACATTATCCTACCATAAAGAAGTTCCTATTTTTAAAAAATCTCAATTGGGACCATTAATAAAGGAGTCACTTTACTTTGCCATGCCCTTCTGTAAATGTACTGCACCTTTTACTGGTGAAATAGTAAAATGGGCTTAGTTTATAACTGTTGTTCTTTAGATAATGATGTTCTTTTTTAAAGTCAAATATTGCATTTGAGGAATTGCAATAATGTAAAATTTAATCAAGCATCAAATTAGAATTGAATCAAGCTAGAGCCATTTTTTTAATATTGCCTGTTTCTGCTGTATATGCACTTTGTTATTCTTTATTAAAAAATAAAGCTTTTAATCCATGTATATTCTGTAAGATTTTCTTTTAATTTTATTGCGTCCAAGCAACCAGGTTAATATTGCTGGATCCATCTTATAGTGCATCTGACACATATATCTTCCCCACTTACATCTATCTAACTTTCCTATCTTTCCATAGCTGCACTTTTCCTGCACTTCATATTTATATTAGTTTTCAATTATGTAGACCTACCCATCCAAGTCTTCAGACAAAATGTGGCAAGCTGTTTTAAGATCCTTCTGTTCCACACAAAGTATGGAAATATACATATATACATATGGGAGACTTGACACTGTGTAAATGCTATTTTAGACTGTAAGTCGCTCGGAGCACCTTGGTGGAGAGCGACTAATTAAGAAATAAAGTGAAGTGAAGAAGTGAAGATACAGTCCATGGATTCACTTGTCTGTCTTCTGCTCTACAGTTCCCTACTTTAAACAGAAGTGAATTTTCCCCCCTTAAGGATTTGTTTCTTGTCTGTGTTGAATGTACTGTTTGCATATTGTGTGTATTCATATGAAGGCTTTCTGTACTCCTATCTGAAAAACCACCAGATTCCTTACTGTGGCTCTTTCTCCCACGACAGGAGCATAGATAAAGGAGGAAAAGATCCAGCACTTCCTTCAGGGGGACAAGATCACCATAGAATTACATAACATCATGAAATGGTTTTTTAGTTTATTCGCCAAGGGGCTCTTTATTCAGAACTAGACTCAGTAGAGAGGAGACTAGAATACTCAAAGTGTAGGAAGGGAATACGTCTCTATAAGTCCCAGCGGCATCTGCTATGTGTGAGTAATGCCTGTTTGATTCATCACTGCAATCTGACTCATAATTAAGACAAATTATAATTCATCAAATGGTTTAATAATAACTTTCTCAAATTCTACTGGATTGCATTCAGGGTTTCTTTTGAGAGGACCCCTGCATGTCCTTCCATATGAGTACTTCCACTTTTGCCTTTCTCTTAAACATATTAATCAAAATACACCCTTATGAGGGCTTGCTTTTTTCAGTTCAAGGACACTAAACTGTGAGTGTGACTGTTCCAGGGGTTTTTGTAAGTAGCCAATTCTACTTAGAAATAAGAGAAGAGCCACCACATAGCTAAACAACTATACAAATACAGAAAGTTGTAACTCCAGGAGTCAACCAAGAATTGCCAAAGCTGCTTAGTGAACTCAGTGCTTCAATGTTTTTAAACTGGACACAACAAAAATTTAAAAATGGGTTTATAGAAATGGGCTGTGATCCATTATAACCTGGAGATGCACATCATTACTAAGCCATAATTTAGATTGGACACTAAACAGAAATTCATACTCATTTTGGAAAAGCATATGAATATTGTCTGTAGGGACAAAGCAAAACGAATAAACACAGGTGAGTCTCCATTTTGTTTCTATATAAATGTTGACATTCAGACATGTATTTTCAGCATTACACTTGGATAATCTGATTAATAAGACAACTCTTTACTGATATCTTCCTAATGTTCTAGCACTTTAGAAGATGTGACTGTTACTTTTTTTTGTAACTTCCAAGTAGACTGAACTGTAATGTTTGTCTTCTCAGGTAGTAATAAACTCACTGGGCTGTAATCCAGCATGCAAGGCCCATTAAAATCAATAAGTGGGTATTACTATTGTCAAACATCAAAAGGAAGGATTAAACACAAATATTTTGCAGCCAGGAATCTAAATATTCCAAAGGTTTTTAAAACACACCAACGTAACTGTTTTGTTAAGACTATCACTGCAAGTGTCCAGAAAGATAACAAGAACATTTTCTCTCCCCATTTTTATTGCTTTGATAGAAATTCTCAACTCACAAAGCTGCCATTTCTTAAAGAAATTTAATTGTCATCCAGCAGATACAATCTAGTCTGGGGAGTAACATCCACCCCCCTCTTGCTTATTACATATAAGTTTTCCTTAGAAAAATGAACTTCCTATATAGATTTTTTTAAAAAAAATATCTACAATACTTATTGAAAGTGAAGAAAATGGATGGTAAGAATAGTATGAAGTGACTTTGTCTACAAGCAAGATAGTGATGTCAATAAACACGTTTTCTTTTAAGATACAATTCTGCGTAATGCACTCCCGAGCCCTGAGCGTGTTGGCCCACATATTCCACAGGATTCTCTTCCGGAGTGGAGATGAGGTACGAAGAGCCTCGCTTTTCACTTCTGATTGGTGCCATCTAAGGATGACAAATGATTATCATTAAAGACAACGTATAATTCCAAAAGAATGCTAAATTGTTTGTTGTATAATCACTGCATTTATCTTATGAAATTCCAAGATCCATTCAAAGAGACAGCTGCATTAGTCTGTTATAATATAAAAGAGTGGAGGGGGTGGCAAGGGAATCTTGCAGGGCCTTTAAGACTGATTTATTTCACCATCAGCTTGCTGTGGATTTAAACCCACATCAGTTTTATACATTTTCAGAACAGCAGTAACATACTTTAAGAACAATGGAAATCTGCACATAGATCAGGCATGGACAAACTTCAGCCCTCCGGGTGTTTTTGACTTCAACTCCCATAATTCATAACAGCCAGTATTTATTTATTTATTTATTTGATGCATTTATTAACCGCCATTCTCAGCCCTCCAGGGCGACTCATGGCGGT